CACCTTATCCTTATGCGGGAGTTCTGTCTACCTGTTGAATTTTGAATGAAAACCCAATGAACAGAAGCACTGCACTGAATTCTCTATTTCGTTCCTTGCTGAGCTTCCATGAATGTAAAACACCAGCACAAAGGGAGAGTCAGCAGGTAGAGATCAACACTATCCATATTTAATGGAAAGGGACTCTGAATTCATTGATGGGAAAACTGTGCTAGAAGGCCAAGTTCAATACTTGCTTACTGAGTGGGCTTCTAGCAAAAAAGGAATAAACATCTTATAACAAATTTTCATGATTTCTGCTTTGAAGTAGTACTATTTTAATTCAAGGAGAAAAATCATACAGTAGGCAAGGGATTAAGTAGCGCCTGGGAAATTTCCCTCACTTACAGTGGAGTACAAAAGCAGGGACAGGGACCACATCCTTCACCAGGAATTTGAGCTCTCTGTGACTGGGCTGGCCCAGATCCCCACCATTCTTTCCTAAGGAGGAAGACACTGAAACACCCACAATCTCTACCTTCTACCACAAAGAGAAAGGTTGCAAGGCAGAGAGGCCTGGACCCAGCAGCACAGTGGTCACCCTAGCCGTCCTCAGGTGTGTGGGTCCCCATGTGGAACCTGCAGTGGCTCTTGGCAAACTCTCCCAGTGAAAGCATGTCCCAGCACAGTTTCTGTCCTGGTCCTCAGTGGTTTTCAGCATCTTTCTGAGGAAACTCCTCCAGTGGCAACATGATCAGTAGCAGTGGCTTCAGTTACAGTACCTGAAATCCTCAACAGCTATTGCTTCCAGAATCCTATTCGGGGCTCCTGGGATCTCTCCTTTGTCTCCAGACTCTAACAGGTGCCAGGTCTGTCTGCAGCTGGGCAGCCATCATCACTGCTTCAGCATCAATTATACAATTCAACACATTCTTACAACATCAACAAAGAAAATACGGAGTCTCACTGTCCCCCCCATTCCTACCACAAACACTCCTTAGTGGACGTGGAAACACCAATGACTATCTTGCCAGAAAGATCAGCAAATTTCAACCTACACTCAGTGGGACCATAGATTGCATTCTTGTTCTTATGGTGGCTTGCTCACTGAAATAGTTGTCCATTTATTCACTCATTCAACCACCCACCTGATATTTATTGAGCACCTACTATATGCCAGGCACCATGGCATGCAGAGTTGGACCTAGTGCTCCTCTTCAAGATGCTCATGGTCTGATAATAATAATAATAATAATAATAATAATAATAATAATAATAATAGCATAAAATATTTATAGAATGCTTAGTATGTACCATTCCTCAGTATCATGAGATAAATGCTCTTATTCTTCTCTGCTTTACAGGTGAGCAAACCAAGGGACAGAGAGTTTTAGTTGCAGCTAAACAAGTAAATAGGTAATTACCATTTCATGTAGCAGCCTGGTGATGCAGGGAAGCCCGATGTGTGGTTATATTCTCAAGAGTCAGGTGTGATTCTAACCTACCCTGGCTATATAGTTGTACCCAGCCTAATTCAAAGATTTTCCAGAGGTAATAAAATATTTAAAAGAAAAAAAAAACTGCTTTTAGGAGAAACCAACAGGAAGGCAGTAACAATAAAACAAAGACATGCTCAGAAATGGAAAAAGCGTTCCATTTTACGATTAGAGTGACCTTTAATTTACATGTGTCTTCAGTGCTTCTGGCAAAACAACTCAATTCTTGGAGAAATGGTCTTTACAGTGATAAATTAGAAGGGATCAGAAAGATGTGTGACTACTAAAGAACTCTCAGGAAACCTTTTCAGAGTAGAAAAGAGCAGACATGGGGCCAGTTTCTCTCCATCTGGAAGAAGGCCTTCTGCAGACACAGAAGGGAGAGACTTGCAGCAGCCAAGCCGCCACCCTCCACTCAGTGGGCTCTGCTGAATTTCATCTCCTTCTGCTGAATTTCATCTCCTGCCGTGTAGGTCTCCAGCCACCTCTGGTAGGTCTGTGTGTGAAGAGACACCAGGACCCCTTGTGCTGAGTTTTCAAGCACTGAGAGAGAGCATTTGAGCTCTGATCATGACCAATGAGATATTTAGAAAATACACACTCTGGCTATCGCCACATGATACCAAATCTCTTTCCTCAGAGAAGAAAAAAATGAGTACAGTGTAAACCCCACCCCTCAGCATCATGAGGTTGAAAGAAGTCCTTAGACCAACATATTTAGCCATTTGTTTTGTTGTCGTGTAGAGATAGTGGTTTGGTTTCTGTGTTTTGGTTGTTATTCTGCTTTGGTGATCAGCTAAGAGCAGTCATTCTGACAGCTGAATCCTCTTGGTGGTATTTTTCCACACCAGTTTGGGGCATGACAGAAATTTTTCCTATGAGTAAGAACTGAAGGTGATGCCAAAACAAAGCAGCTTAATGAGCGATTGGCAGTGATTCTACACTTATCTCTAGAAGAAAAGGTCTAGGATTCAGTGTAGTTTTGCAAGGCAGTAGTTCTTTGTTGACTTTTTCCCTAACTATGAAGAAACAGTTACAGTTAATCTCTTTCAGTAATAAAGGGCATTTAACAAAAATATTTGTTTTATGCTAAGCGATTTTGGGGAGCTTCGCCAATTATTTTTGCCCTTATTTCTTCAAGTACCCTTTCCTTCTTCCTTTTTCCCTCTTTCTTCCAGGACTCATTATGCATATGTTGGTATGATTGATGGTGCCCAATAGGTTTCTTAGATTTTCAGTTTCCTTCATTTTTTTTCTTTTTCTCAGATTGGATGATCTTAGTGGACTTTTCAACTCCAGAATTCCTATTTGATTCCTTCTAGTAATTTCTCTCTTCATTGAAACTCTGGTGAGATGTTGTTCTCATGATTTCTTTAGTTAGGCATGGTTTCCCTTAGCTCTTTGAACATAATAAAAAATAGCTGATTTCAAAATCTTTCTCGAGTAACTCCAGTGTTGGAGTACCTCGGGGACAGGTTCTATTGATAGTTTTTTCAATCAGTATGGTGTGTGGACCATATATTCTTGTTTCTTTCCATACCTCATAATTTTTTGATAAAAACTGGACATTTTAAATATTATAATGTGGTGAGTCTGGGAAATATTCTCCATCTTCCCCAGGGTTCTTTGTTTCTGCTTGTTTTAGTTGTGTGTTTTTTCCTGACTTTTCTAAACCAATTTTTGAAAGTCTGTATTTCTGTCCTTTGTGCCCATTGAAAGTTTCTGTTTTGTTGCCTAGTGGTCAGTTAATAATTGGATACAGCTTTCCATGAATGTTTGGAAACAAACAATCTCCCTGTTGTGGCCAAGGGTCTCTCCGAGCATGTTGGGGTGCACCCTCGGTGATCAGCCACAGGCTCCGCTTGCTGCTCGAGCAGAAAGGTCAGTTCAGTTGGCGTGAGAGTGTCAGGCCTTCTCGGTTTTCCCTGAACAGGAGCGAATTCCTGTTTGTCTATGCGACCTTCTAGATTGCTTGGAGTACGTTGAAGCTTGCCAAAGCCCTTATTCCCAAACTATAGCCTTTCCTCCAAGCTTTTAGTTATTGTTGTTCCAACTGTTACCATTTCCGGAGAAAGGAGCAACTAAAACATTTGCCTGTAAACATTTTTGACAGATGGTCCTTGAGTAGAGGCTATTGTGCTGGGTGCGCTCCATTTAGGTGAGAGAAAACATGTCGTTTGAGCTGGTCTTCCATGGAACCACCAGGCAGATTAGCTGAGGACAATTACTTCTCCTGAGGTGGTTCCGGCTCCCTCTGGGGGCAGTTCTGGTACTGGGAATGTTGGCTGTTACTTTTGAGGCTACCAGTAAGCTGAGGAACAGGCAACGGGCCTAGGGTAAGCTGCCGTGCCACGAAGGTCACCACGGTCACCAAGAGTCAGCCTTTTCTGCTAAGCATCCCAAAGTTTCAGCAGGCTTTCGGCCTGTTTCCAAAATAAGTTGGTTGTAACCATTTTGCCAGTGATTTAGTTACCTTTATGGACGAGTGGACGTTGGCTGTGCCTTACCCTGACATTTTCATGGATGTCACCTTGTCTATTCTTTCTTACTGGGTTCTTTGACCTTCATTATTGTATTTTTAGAAGTTCTTTGTAAGTTAGAGCTATTAACACTTTCGTTCGTTGGTGCAGTTTTGCTCAGTTCATCATTTGGTAGTTTACTTTGTGGTGTTTTGACCAATTCAAAAGGTTTTGATTATTATGTTATCAAATTGATTAATATTTTCTCTTCTGGATTTTGATGCATAGTGAGAAAACTTTCCCCTCTGTCTAATTTTAGAGCAATTTACTTATGTTTTCATATGGTATTTGTAGAGCTTCAGGTTTTATATTTGAATCTTTAATCCATTTGAATTTTAATATAGTTTGTGGTATGAGAAATGGATACAATCTTATCTTTTTCATATAGCTAGCCAGCTATATGCTCAGCACTTACTATCTTTTCTCACTGATTTGAGATGTCTCCTTTATTGTATATTAACTTTCCATGTGCAATTAGATTATGTCTGGATTTTCTATTTTATACCATTAGGTTTCTAGTCATATGCCCATCACATGCTTTTTAATTAGGAAGCCTTTGTTTTATACAAGCTGGTTCCCTGTACTCCTCACATTGCTTTTCTTTTTTTTTTTAGGGTTTTTTCCCCCTGATACTACTGCTTATTTGTTTTTTCAAATGAACTTTATAGTAAACTTATTTTGTGCCAGAAGAAAATTCTGATGATATTTTATATTGGGATTGTATTACATTTATATTATTACCTTCATGATAACTGACATGCCAAAACAGGGTGCATCTCTGTATTCATTCAAGTCTACTTTTGGGATTTAAAGGAATGCTTTGTAGTTTTCCTCTTACAGGTTTTGGGCATTTCTTACTAAGTTTTCACATAGGTATTTTATTTCATATTTTGATGTCATAAATGGAGCATTCTCTTTCATTTTAACTGGTTTGTGTTTGTCTATGTAAGACTTACTGCTTTTCATACTTTAATTCTATAATCTGCTATTTTATTATTCTTTGTAGTCATCTCTTCACGGGTTTGGGTATCCAGATAGAAAATAACATCAGCTGCTGGGACATTATATTTTGGCAGTTTTAGCAGGGATTGTGAAAGCCCCATGGCAACAAAGTTCTGGACGTAAGTATTCAGAAGTAAGACTCATAAACCATGTTATTTTCTTAAACATCCAGCATTTCTTGTGACGTTACTTTGATTTTAGGCCTAAGTCATACTCTAAAAGAGAATTAAAAAATGTTATCAGGACCCTTTGTGTCTACAAACATATATGTACACCCACGTGTCTACAATCATTTTGCTTTTGAGAAATAAATGTATGTACAGGGCCGAGTTTGTTCTACTCAGTGGGGTCACTATGTAAGTTGGTGTGCCCTAGTGGGAAAAATGACATCAGAGCCCTCACCCAAGAGAATCATTCTGTGAACCTTCCTCAGTTTTTACATGCAGTTTTGTGCTTACTGCTTTTTACACTCATGATAGACCTGTGGCCACTAGGTGGGGAGGTGGCTGTCTCATTCCAATGCCCCAGAAAACAGGTACGGAGGCTAGTCACCTGGCTAAAAGAGGAGCAAAGAGCAGAAGTCAGATATCCTGTCTTAATGTCTGTCTTTTCCAACATACTCCTAGACCTGCAAAGCCTTTTGCTGCTCTTAAAGCCCATGTCTGACTTGTCCTCAGAGGAATCAGGAGCCGCTGCTCAGCATTCCCTATTATAACATCCTCCGTATGGACGAATCCTGTGATTTTGTTCCCTTCCAGCTTCCCCTTTGGCAGGTTAAATAGCCCTGATTTTGCTCCTCTTAGAGTTTATCTCCCACCTCTTTTGTCAGTTTTAACAAAGAGGTTATGACTCTCGGGGTCCTGCCCAACAGAGCTCTTCCTCATTATTTTGTAACCTTTCTACCTCCTTCCAGGGAGAGTTAAATAGAGCCTGTGGATCTTTGATAGGAGCGTCTGGCGGGCGCGCGAGCACACAGACGTTTCCAGGGGGCGCTCTGAGGGCCCCGCGCCCTCGCCGCCGCCGCAGGTGAAGGCGGCTGCGCCCGGCGCGTCCCCTACCTGCGCTTGCGAACGGCGCCCACGCACGTCCACGACCCAGGGCACCACCCACCTGGGCTGCGAGAGCGCGGCTGCGATCAGAGTGTTTAGAGACGAGGAGCTACTGGCTGATTACTGCAGGTGAACAATTCATTTTTTTGGAAAGGCACTGTTCTTTCAGCTTGTTAATCATGTGTGAAAAAGTTATCCCTGACCTAGAATTTCATTACTGCACCTGAGCCAGACTGAAAATTAGAGAAATTAAATACGATAAAATGTGAGTAATAAAAAGAATAAACCTTGAGAGCTAAGTGGTGTTCGGGATGTTACAGCAGGAAGCATGTCAAGCATGCTTCAGTGGTTTTTAAAAAAAATGAGACCAGATGCCGCTTCTCCTTCGGCACCCTTGGGTTCTCTTCCTGGCCACTCCTCTCTGTACCCACAAAAAAAGGTGCCAGATTTGGTGATGGGAGGGCCCTTCATCCATCAACCAGGTTACTTGCTTTTTCTCTTTTTGGGAGTGGTGTCACTGCCCTTCAGAGAACCTTGATCTGAGTCAGAGAAACGAGATCACGTCCTACTGGAGCAACCTCTCCCTGTTCATGGACCAAGTCCCACAGCAGCGGAGCACCTGCCCCTCTCTTGGGTCCCCTGGTTATCCTGTTACTAAGCCCGTTAGGGAAATGTAAGAACTACTAGCTTTTGAAAGGAAGACTCTCTTTAAGCTTAGTGTCATCCCAGGTCAAGAAGAGGAAGGAAGGGTTTGAGGAGGCCCCTTCGTGTTTCTTGCCTTAGACTGAAGAACTGCGACTGCTACTGTTTTGTTATTTGCTCACAGAGAATTTGGATGAGTGGGAAGAAGTTTCCAGAAGGGAGAGGTGTGGGGACCAAAGGGAGAGGACTGATGAGGTTAAGTGGGCACCTGGAGGCCCCTGCCCCGGGCCAGCGCCGTTCGATGTGGGCTGCCCTGCTTAGAGAAGTCTTCAGCTGTTTGAGGAAGCAGGTGGGCCTCTGCTGCTCCCTGACCAGGGAAGGGACATGGCACTTGTAGTGTTTAGACAATGATGGTGTGGAGCACAGTCCGAGTGGCGGCAGGGACAGCGACAGGCGAGGACAGCATCGTTATCTATTACAATGGGAATTTTTTCTGACCTTTGACAGAAGGAAGTGAGGGTTCAGTGTGGAAAATACTGGTCTGAGAATTAAAAGGTCTAAGTTTGAATTCTTGTTCTGCCGTTAACTAGCTGGATAATCTCAAGAAGCACTTCTCTGAGTCTCTTCAGAGTTTCAAACTGCATTTGGCTTGTACATCAGTTTTCAGCTACAGACATGTTTATTTGGGGTAACTTTTCCACAGTCCCCACCACTCTCGAATCACATATAACTTGCTTCACACTTTAACATCACCAAGCAGGCCCCTCTAGGTGTACAATATCTGCTATAAATCTTGTCAAAATAACTGTATTTGTGTTTGCCTAGGTTACTGTTGCCTACCTTAGGTTACAAGTTCTTAGAGTCAGGAAACTCTTCAACTTATTTTCTTCTGGCTGAACATTTAGGGCAAATTAGTAGTTTATAATTATACTTGATAATATTCAAGTTTCTGGACATAGGCCCTCTTCTCTCTCCTTGCTTCTCTGTTTTCTGGGAAAACCTGCAATAGTTAGAGTGTGTTTGGGGGACTTGTCACAAGGTTAGATTCTATTTTATTTCCCTGCTTAGTTTAGACAGTTTGTAGATTTAGAGCCACAACTTCACAAGGACTTGTGTTTGGAAGCAAACTGGTTCTGGCTCCTTTTGTTAATTTAGGACAGAACTTTGGGGATTGTCCTGGAGAGACTTGATGTAAAAGCAGTGCAGAAGAGGATCCCAGAGATTCTTAGGCTCAACACCTTTATTTTGCAGAGGTGACAGCTAAGCCTCTAACAGAACAAGGGACTTGCTTAGTGGCCCATATCCAGAGCCCAGTGTGCCCTCTGTTGAACTCACGGCTTCTCCGACTCAGTGTTCACATAATGTTCGTAAGAGGCTGTATTCTGCTTGGAGTTTGGCTCAAGACATTCATCTAAATTTAATTAAATCTTGTGGATCGAATACCTATACTGAGTTACTAAAATTGCATTTTAAAAAACGGGGGTAGTGATGTGTTCCTCTAGAACTAAAAATCTGTACACTAGGTTTATTTTCCCAAAGGCTAAGTGTTAACTCACAGAAACCAGATAATTAAAAAAAATGTGAAGAGTAATTCAATTACTGCAGAATTCCAAGCATTTAATCACATTTTGAGATAATCATTTAGTTATGGTAAATGCTTTTTGCTTCTGTTTTCTTTTCTTTATTTTATTTAATATAAGTTATTTTATTGTTCCTAAGAGGGTGTAAGTTTAAAGTGAATTAAAATGTTACATTGTATTTTCTTTAATAAAATGAAATTTAATTATATTGCATTTAATTCACTGAAGTGTTCATCTGAAGATGTGATTTTTAAGTGTTTTTTGAGTTACTAGAAATAGAACTTCTCTTTTTCCGTTCACTCTCTTTTCCTTTCCTTTGCCCCCTCTTCTTCCTTCTCCCTCTTTCTCCTAAAATAAATTCTCCAGTATTATCACCTGCTCTTGGGTTTACAAAGTTGTAGCATATTAGTGCTGGAAGGGGCTCTGGAGATCCCCTAGTCTAGGAGCTCCTGATATGTGGTTCCCTTACACATGTGAAGTCCTAGGTAAGCTTTTGTGGGGAGCCCAAGAACCTTGAAATTTGTGTGCAAATTCTGTTTCTTCTGGGAAAAGGGACTATAGCTTCATCAAATTCTCAGAGGGGTCTTTGACCCTGAGGTTAAATAAGTATCAGTGATGAGAAAAATACTGCCCAAGACGTCAAAATAACTCATTCAGGATCACATTATTATAGAGTGGTAGACTCAGGTGTAGAAACTAGGTCTTTTAGCTTCCAGCACGAGGCTTTTTCTGCTACACTAAGAAAGCAGGCTTAGTTTCAATTTTACTGGAGTAGTTCATGTACAGTTGTTACATCTTCTTGAATCTGTATTCCAGGAATGGCTAAGGAATTAGAAATCAATTAGTAATAAAAATCAGATTAATTAAAACATCAACCAATCCAAACCAACATGCTCTCTAAATTCCAAGTGCTCAAATTCCTTTCATGTAAAATTTCACACCCTCTGAGTATGCCTGATGGCATGTATGTGTGTGTGAGAGAGGGAAAGAAGTGAGAGGTGGGTCACGAGAATTGAGGTGTGAGGTGGGGTAGGTGAGGGAAAGAGTAGGGGAACTTCCTAGTAAGCAAGTCATTTCCCCATTAACTTGTAAAGGATGATGAGGGGCACCCTCCCTCAGAAGAACCCAGGGTTTCTTGACATTGCCAAAGTATTAGCCCTGCTATTGCTCCCGTTTAAGAAAGCGGATCAGAAGGGAGAATTGCGACATCCCGGACCACTAACTGAATGTGAAGAGTAAGGACCCTGGGACGCCACTGCAAGAAGCACCAGGCCTCTGAGCACTCATAGAGTCTGCAGTCATCAGTCTCCCAGCAGCTGGGGGAAGACAGTGTTTTCCATGGGACTCAGACCACTGCCCCTCCAGCCCTCCTTGCTGACTCCTAACGTGTGTATGCTGTGAGCCCTCCTGTAGGCCAAGTGACCCAGGAAGGATCCTTTGTCGTGGTTTCCATATTTCATTTTACTTGTTTTATCAGGTGGTAAAGAATTCTCACTCCACTGTCCACATTAATGTAACTCATCATATTTCAGATACAAATATCAACTCCTTCCCAAATGCTCTCATTGTGGCCAACTCACTGATTAACAACTATGAATGGATTTTAAACTTTTCTCTGAGCAGAGAGGTGCAGTCTTCAGTACTCAGAGAGAATTGCCAATGGTGATAAAGATGATGGTTTAATCCTTTTTTCTCACGCTCCAATAGAACAAAGGCTAATCACGCCCAGGCAGTTTAATTATCCCTGTCATAATGGAAGCTGTAATTCTCTGGATTCTGTTTTATTAGCAGTATTTAAAGATCTGCAGCACCTCAGATTGCTCAGTTGCCAAACAGCTTGACATCATTTTCCAAAAAAACGTTAAATAAAATAAAGAAAGGAAGCAAGGAGGACAAACTTAGCAAGTCCATGACGAGGCTGTCACATAGCCCTGAGGGAAGGGCTCCTGAGACCTCAGATAGGTTCCCAGGGGGATGCTGAGGGAGGCCTGCTCTGCCCCCACCCTCCCACCCCAAGCCTCAGGCCTACGACCTCCATGGCTGTCAGCCTGGGTGGGTTTAACGCTGATGGGCCCTCAGGCCATCCTCTCCCTCTGCGATGGAAAGGGCGGGTGACTCCGCCACACTCCTCGGCTAGATTCTTCCTCCTCTGGGCTTTCAGGAGCAGGCAGTGATTTTTGGCAAGACTGAGGCCTCAGCAGCAAACAGAGGCATCTCTTCCAATTGTCTGCATTTTAGCAACATTGACTAAGCCTCTGGCTATGGTGGCAAGCATATGGTGGTGTGTTCTGGAGCACACAGCATTTGGTGATAGCCAGCCATTCTCAAGGGGGGAGCTGGGATGAGTTTTTAAAAAACTGAGACCAGGATTTGGCCCATGGGAAAGACCATCTACCAGCATCCATTTTCTAGGTGGAGGGAGGGAATAGGACGGTACATAGCAGGCAAGCTTAAGCAGTTGTATATCCTTGGCATGTGAACTTAGGATCTGAATTGAAAAGGTAGGTATTGAAAGGAAAGGAGCGACACATAGCAGCAATTCACCGGAGAGTTCCGCTTTATTAGGGAAAGGTGCTGGGTTATATAGGAGGGGGCATGATTTATTGAGGTGTCACTTCTATGGGGCTGGTGGCTGTTGGCTAGGTGCTGGGATTGGGAGGGGAGCAAGAGGTGATTGGGCTTCAGGTGGCGCCGGCGGGAACTGAGGACCCCGAAGAGAAGCCGGAAGTTTGCCATCTTACTGGTGGGGACCCTTCATTCCCCCCTTTCTCCTCTATGGGTTTGTGGACGTTGCTTTCTCTCTGGCTGCTTCCTGCTGAACAGGGGCGGAGAAGGGAGTGAGGGCTTGAGGATTGGGAGGAAAGGGTTGATAGGACTCCCCACAGTAAGGATGAGTAGATGTGGACT